CCTTTGGGGCTGTCAATTTCCCGTTTGTAATACAAAATGACTGAAAAACGGCAAACTTCGCAAGGCTATATTATTCGCATTTTACAACATTTCGCAACGAAACTTTGGAATATTACTAATTTTGTGATGCTCTTTCAAGCTGTGATGCCATTTTTGTCTATATCAAAATTTAGTCTATAATGCAAATGGTCCATTACGATGCTTTCTTGTTTAAAACACTTAATGGCAGTCTCTGATGGCATACTTCGAAACCCGTATTCGGAGTCGAAAAAAAATCCGTACTCATCTTTCAGAAAACCCGGACTTGACTTTTGAAAACCCGGGCTCGAAATAGAAAATCGGATTCGTAACAAGGACTCTGTGTACGAGAATGTAAAGGTGTTTTGCAAAGGTTTAATAATAATTAACATGATAAACGGTGATCTATAATAATCAGTATACATCTTTAAATAAATTTATATTGTACAACTATCTGACGTAGTATTGATAATAATTATTGCATGCTTACCTCGGCTGCAGACTGTCTTAACTACCACTGGACTACAGCTAATGATAATGTTAAACTTAATTACTTGCCACATGGATGTAACGAAGTTGACTTTGACTCAACTGATAGAATTCTATTCTTAGCAGTACAAAATTTTATAATTAATTCCAATAGTCCAGTGTTAGCCTTCCATACACTTTTTCATTTTTTTCTCTCTTTTTCCTCAACTTGTTTATTACTAACTTTTCATCCTTTATGAAATTTTAAATTGACATAATATATTTACCGCCTATACTTGATGCTAAATTCTTGTGAATAGAACAAGAGCCCCTTGACGAGCTGAAAGCTCTTGGGAAATTGTAATATTTCTAATATTAAAATATATGTTTATTTAAAAAAATAAATTATTGCATTTTGCCCAATACAAACTCCCGACTACCATCTTGACGAAACTCACGAAAGGACTGTGGTCAAAACCTAATGCTTTGCCAATAGACTGTACTGTTTTATTGCACTCTTTCCCTATGCAATGGTCTCGTTTTCCTGTGGAAATCTTCATGTTTCGTGCACTGAATATGTTTATGGATAGGTTTGTGATTGGAATGAATGAAAAAATAACAATATTTATTGAGGGTGAACACCAATCTAACATTAAGAGGTTAATGAGGGTCAGTTTACAAAGGTAATTAAACCTACATATTCATATTATACAATAAAAGAGTAAAAATACGCTATTATACAAATTAAATAAGAAGATTAGAGATATAATTCAGTTACTGATTTCTTAAAAGTACTTAAAGTTAAGTTTTTGAAACCGGTAGTTAAGTTGTTCCAAATCCTTACGCCACGATTGCTAAAGGATTTTTGACCTGTTGAAGTAGACACTTTGGTATTCTTAATTTGCCATCAGCTGCATTTCTAGTCAAGATCAAGGTTGGAATTAAGATCAAGTTCAGAGAGAAACATGTTCGTGCTAGCCAATCTGACGTCCGTGTTGAGAAAAAGTTTTGTTTTCAGGTTGGTCTTCATGTCCTGTTGACCATACCTTCAATCATCGTTATAATTTTGTATGATTGTAAAGTTAATAAATAAAAATTGTCGCTTTAAGCTCGCTAATATTGACCAGAACGGCCCATATGTGAGCGTCGTTTGCTGTATTATTAGCGCGGCGTTTCTATATAGTATAGACCAGTCTTCTATTTTGGCTTTGCTTAACTATTTATAGGCAGGTCAGGAGTTGGCATGCAGTAATGCTTGGTTGGACGCATCCCAGCGGGCAAAATGACGTTGATTGGACGTTAAAACAACGTTATGCCAGACGTTGGATAGACGTTGAAAAAACATTGAAATGCAAATTGGATCGACGTTACTCTCGTGACGTTGATCAAACGTCTATGGAGTATAGATCAACGGTGAAGTGCGAAATTTAGACGTCATTGAGATGTTGAAAAAGCAAATTGGAACGACGTTACTCTCCTGGGGCTTGTTGCTCAAAGGTGGGTTAGCACGAATCCTTGGTTAAATTTAACCTGCTGTTTTGGTTTGTGTATTTCTACACGTCTGATTATTTCAAAACTTCAGAGAAGTAAACTCCTACCGATCCAGACAAGATTTCTGAAGAAACATTTCCTAATTTATAGACAAGCTGTCAAGCTGTTTCATTGACTTTTAGGCTAACCTAGGATTAAGCTAACCAGCTATCGAACAACCGGCCCCTGACGTTGATCAAGCGTCTATAGATCAACGGTGAATAGACCTAGACGTCAAACGCGGAAAAAGCACTTAATGCGATGTCCCATGCGACAATTTTGAGCGACAATTCGCAATGCATATGTTGTTTTTATGAAATTTATTGTCTCGCCAACGACATACATCGCGAATCGTTGCTAACTTAATAGACCTTATACATAATGACGTCACAAGGCTTGATGCCCGCGAGGAATGCTGGTCTTGGTAGTCATCGCCCGGAAAAATTTCGATAGTGGCCATTTTGAATTGTTTAATTTTCCCGCGCGATGACTACTAAGACCAGCATTCCTCGTGGGCGTCGAGCCTTGTGACGTCATTATGCATATTGTCGCTAAAAATTGTCCCGTGCATGGGACATCGTATAAATTGGTTTTCCGCGTTTGATGTCATTACCAACTTATCAATGTACCTCTCCAAGATAACAACGTTCAGAATAACAAACGTGATCAAACGTCTAGACAGATCAACGTCAAAACAAAATAACTTTTAAAACTTTAATTAGGCAATGTTAAAATCAACATCCAAATCAAGTTGAAATAACGGCGTTTGTTGAACGTCCTATATAACTGACGTAACTTATAGTCTAAACGACGCCATTTTCAGTTTCAGACGTTGAAGTAATATTTCAAATCCGACTATGCCGGACTGGACTAGATTTCACGTCAGCGAAATTTGATCCGAGGTGAAGCCGAGGACTGGGTCAAAATGCGAGGAAATCTACTGCACTCCAGTCCGAATTAGAGGATTTGGAATGATTTTGATTTAGTCCAAGGACTGAATTAATTTCTATCCAGTCCTAGGACTGGATCAATATTCTTCACCAGGTATCCAAGTTATCCAGTATTATCATGTGAGCAAAATAAAGTAATATTAATATATTATTAATGAGTTTGAGATTAATATTGAATAGTTGAAAACTGAATCGATGTTACAGCTTTTACAGCATCAGAAAAATGTTGAAATAACGACATTAATTATTGCATGATTGATCATTTGTCCATCAACGCTCGTAATTATGTTACACATTCAGATAGCGTTGGAATAATTAACTTGTTAAACTAAGTTCCAAACCAAAGAAATATGTGACATCTAATTAATCAAAATCCTGGGGTTATACTTTGAGAAAAAAACTATTAAAGCGCTTCCAAAAAATACCGACTCTTTATTTTCGAAGACATAATGTTCATGATATTAAAGTAAATTCGATAGCTGTTTTCGCATTACCAACATGGCATTCTATATAGAATTCCTTGCTTGTGTGGAGCGTATGGGTTGAACGCTTCAACCAAAAAAAAACGCTCGTCCACATATTTACCTCACAGTTAAAAGAGGAATGAGGAAATCGGATGTACGACGCGATCTTGAAGGCAAGTTCAAGTATATGACGCAAAGGAATAATTTGAACTCCTGCAAGAACCTAAAAAACCAAAAATCATTCAGTTAAGCAAATGGAGCTGTCTCGTTTCTTTTCCGTCTCTTTTTGTTTTCTTTGACACATGGTATATAATAAAACACTTACTGTTTCCCTCGATCCAAGTTAGTAGGTGTTATAAGTATTGCATTTTCGTCCAATACAAACTCCAGATTACCAACTTGACGGAAGGACTGTGCTCAAAATCACTCATTTCTCGGCTAAATAATATACAGCAATGAATAATAAATATATTGCACCGAGATTTAATGGTGAAATTTCGCCACAGAGTTGCCTAAAGGCTCGTTTACAATTGCAATTTTTGCTGCGATTTCTATTGCGATCTTCTCCTTCTGATGGATGTGAACGACTATGGATGAGTTATGAATGTTCTGAGAATATGTATCTTCTGTTCATGTGAACTTTCAAAGCTCATCCACTCGTTCAGATCCATTAGAAGAAGAAAAATCGCACTAGAAATTGCAGCAAAAATTGGAAATTTAACCGTCCTTACAGTCGATTTCAACTTACTTTTCACTCAAATGTTCCGAACTTCGTTCTGAACTTCGCAAATGCGTTGCCAAGTTCATAAGTTCATAATGAAATTTACAAACAGGTTTGCAAACCGGGCATTTGATTGGCTGGTTTGATTTAATAGCCAATCAGAGGCTTTGTTTACAAACCTGTTTGTGAATTTCATTATGAACTTTTGAACTTGGCAACGAATTTGCGAAGTTCGGAAAGAAGTTCGGAACATTTGAGTGAAAAGTAAGTTGAAATCGACTGTAAGAAGGAAGCCGGTTTTATCACAGACAAGCGCCAAGGTTGGTGAAGACGAAAAAATATTGTAAGATAATTCACACTATAGAATATAGTTTTCAAAGTTTCTTTTCAAGCCTGCGAAAAAATATGAACAGCTAGATCCTACTTTTCGATCCCGGTATTCCCCCCCCCCCCCGCGCTAACCAACCACATCACCGAAAATGTATGTTGTTGTGGTAGCTTGTGATGATATATGATTTTGGCGTAGGCACGAGTTGATCAAGCCTATATCAGTCAAAAGTGTTCAGCTGTGGCCTGATGGAAATCGAACAACCACGTCAGTAACCTTCTGATAACTGGATAAACGCTCTAATCATAGAGCTACAAGGTCTCAGATGGTGAGCCACGGTTACCTTTACATGGTTCGATTCCATTCAGGGCTTAGATGTTTTTCTGAGATATAGGCCTTGATATAGACCCATTGCACATGACGTCACAGCGCCGGTACGTACGTGACGATCCATCTGGAGGACAAATTAGCAATCTATGCACAATATAACTTTATTGTAAACGAAGCAAATTTTGTAAAACTTTATGATATTTTTGTATTAAAATGGTTAATTTTTGCGCTGTGTGTGGTTGTTGTACCCGAACAGATATTGTTAGGGAGCATCTGGAGGACAGTCTAAGGATTTGTGACGTCAGTGCAATGGGTCTATACACTAACTAGCGAAGTTTGTTTTGAGAACCGCTTCGCCTATGTAGGGGAAAACCGACTTTGGCCGATTTCTAAACTTTTCAATAAATTCAAGAATGAAAAACTGAAACGTTTTTGATAACGGCAAGTTATTTCCATGACTATATTCTTTAAATACACCCTTCCAGAAGGTGCTCAGCCTTGGCCAGAGCCTCGTCTTCGTGACTGAGATATTGGGTTTAGAGCCCTTTATCTTATTACAGGTGGCTCATTTACGAAACCATACAGTTATATTGTGTGAATATAAGACCTGTTTATAATATTATTTTGTAATCAGTAACAAGATAAAGGGTTCTTAAACCAATGTCTCAAACACGGAAACGAGGCTCTATAGCCACAGCTAAGTGTACTTTTCGGAAGTGTGTATTACATGACATGAGGATGATTGCGGTACATTAGCCAAAACGTCAGCTTCAACAGTCAATGCTCACAAATATTAGACTCTCGAAGTCAGGTTTTAATCACACTAGGGACTTTTATAAGATTGACGTTTACGACAAACGTCTAATCATAATTTGAAATCAACTGTTAGCTGTTCGAAGTTAGGGCAGCTTGTGCACTAAAATTGAAGAATTAGCTACTTCTAGCTGTCGAAACTGTAGGCCTTACCTTCAAATGCGATTTGAAGTTTGCCGTTTGCGGTTTGCCGTCAATCTCAATGTCCCTCTCACAAAAACTCTGCCACAGTGTCACCTGCTAAGCGATGTGATTTAGTCGGCGTGAAAGTTTGTCGCATCAAAACTTGTGCAAAAGGTATTGGCTCAATATATAATAAAAGTAGGCCTAATTAACACCAAATCGTCAGTTTAGATAAATTTATTAAAACAATATCAATTTTAAGTTCTTTGTAAGTTTGCATGGCGATAAAACATACAATAGTTTTGTCATGTGGAAACACCAAATTAATAAATTTTCGTGGTGTTTCCACAAACAAAACTATTATAACATAAATTTTGGTCTCCAAACATGATAAATAATGTCAAATTACATTATTGTCGCGACGACATAAAATCACATCGCTCAGCAGGTGACATGCTTTTTTAACAAATTTATGAAGAATTTCGTTCAAGACATTTGTTATGGTGCTTATACAGCTAGCGCTTTTTCACAATTGATCACTTTATGGCTTGTTGGAATTCATTTTTGTGACAAAAGATTACTTTGTGTTCGGATTTGGGAATATGATATTACATAATTCATAATCATAAATTACAGCCAGCGAACTCTAGCAATTGAACGAACTGCCACTGAATTCTTAAAAAATAAACACTTGAGTACAATTTTTTGTAAAAGTATAAAAATTGAAATTTTCCTAAAACATCTCGTGTTCAATCGCGTGTTCGCGAATTCATTTCCGACTTGCCACGATGGCTGAGCCATCGGTCGTTCAGTCAGCGCACTGCCACATTAATACAACGTTGTGGAAACGTTTTGAATTGCGCAGAAACGTCTTAGGGAAATTAAAACTAACTTTATCTCGAAAGACTAATCAATTTCACAACAAAATACAACGGGAAATAATCCATACAACCGTTTAGAAGATAAATTAGTGAAATCCATCAAGTATTAGACAAAGCCGGTCTTCAAATAGGCTCAGAGTGCCAAGAACCAAACGGCTGGAATCTGAGCCTAGTCTTCAAACTGCCCAGTGTGTAACTCGAGTATTAGTTAGCATGACACAAGACAATGTTTTAGGTTTCTTTTACGAAAGAAGCACTTCAATATCAAGCATAATTTAAAACACAACCAAGAATTCTCCAGAATCATGTCGGACTGAATTATTCCTTAATGAAACGCTTTTTGTGATTCTATTTGTACGGATGTCAAAATTGAGGTCTCGCCAATCACAAAATTCGTAGTTTATTTATTAGACATGACGGCTGAGCCGCCGGTCATTCAGACAGCGTTCTACCGCATAAATACAACGTTGTGCAAACGTTCAGAAAACTAAAACACGCATGCTTACAGACTTTGTTGAAGCAAAATAAAAATTTTAGCTTCTTTCACGAAAAACGAATCATTTTCACAATAAAAAACTGTACGAAATTAATCCAAATAATTATTTGTAAGATAAACCAGCGGAATGCATGTGTACGAGTATTTTGCGTCTTCAAAACGTTGTGCAACCTCAAATTACATAATACAGTCTGGTCCCACAAGCGTAGGTAGGGGTTAGTATTTCGTAGTTAAATGCGACACTGTTTCAATGTTAGATGTGCTGCCTAGTGCAGTACATATAATAAAATTGGAACGATACAGAGAAGATTAGCATGGCCCCTGGCGCAAGGATGACACGCAAATTCGTGAAGCGTTCCAAATTTTTAAACTTTTCCTAGCCCAGACTTTATATTTTTCGGTTATCCGCCAATCGCAAAAGATGGAAAGTGAAAAGATATTAAAAATACAATTTGGGGCACGAGTTTACATAAGCCAGCGGTCCTCATTTCTCGGTTGCCCGCCTATCGCAAAAATATGAGCCACAAAAGTCAAAACTACCGGCAATTGTCAGACAGTTACAGTGTATTTTCAATATCTTTCACTTTCCATATTTTTGCGATCGGCGGACAATCGAGAAATGAGGTCCGCTGGCTCATGTAAACTCGTACCCCAAATTGAATAAATCGTTTAGAGTTATAAAACACTGCTGATTGAAATTAAATGTACGATGGCTCCAGATGGCAAAGATCGAATTCGGTTCTGCCATCAGACAGCTTTTTTTCTCGACCTACCGACCATTCAATAAACTAGTCTGGCCCTACCATGAAAGACATTTTTTAATGTCTGGTATCCATGAAACGTCAGGAGTTCACTTTAAGCGTTTTAGAATTTAGTGCATTATCGCTAGATTTTATCGATTGTTTCATTACCGAGTTTTGAGCCTGAAAAAATGACAATCTTCCTTAGAAAGATGGGACAACCTTCCAAGATAAGGTCCCATACAAATGAAATATGGAAATGATTGAAAGAAAAGAAATAACATATTGACTGAAGAGTGAAGCCTGACCCTGGGTCTAAAAGTAAAACAGCGCTGAACACTAACATCACTACAAGAGGCCTGCGGTAACGCCAGTGTCAGGTTTCTGGTAAATTACAAAAGGGCATGATGTATTAAAGGCACAAAAACCAATACCAGCCGACAATTTCAAAAAATATAATACAAAACATAATCCGAAGATAAGCATCTTGAAACCCAAAATATGAGTCAAACAAGAAA